ATACATACATACATACATACATACATACATACATACATACATACATACATACATACATACATACATACATACATACATACATACATACATACATACATACATACATACATACATACATACATACATACATACATACATACATACATACATACATACATACATACATACATACATACATACATACATACATACATACATACATACATACATACATACATACATACATACATACATACATACATACATACATACATACATACATACATACATACATACATACATACATACATACATACATACATACATACATACATACATACATACATACATACATACATACATACATACATACATACATACATACATACATACATACATACATTACATACATACATACATACATACATACATACATACATACATACATACATACATACATACATACATACATACATACATACATACATACATACATACATACATACATACATACATACATACATACATACATACATACATACATACATACATACATACATACATTACATACATACATACATACATACATACATACATACATACATACATACATACATACATACATACATACATACATACATACATACATACATACATACATACATACATACATACATACATACATACATACATACATACATACATACATACATACATACATACATACATACATACATACATACATACATACATACATACATACATACATACATACATACATACATACATACATACATACATACATACATACATACATACATACATACATACATACATACATACATACATACATACATACATACATACATACATACATACATACATACATACATACATACATACATACATACATACATACATACATACATACATACATACATACATACATACATACATACATACATACATACATACATACATACATACATACATACATACATACATACATACATACATACATACATACATACATACATACATACATACATACATACATACATACATACATACATACATACATACATACATACATACATACATACATACATACATACATACATACATACATACATACATACATACATACATACATACATACATACATACATACATACATACATACATACATACATACATACATACATACATACATACATACATACATACATACATACATACATACATACATACATACATACATACATACATACATACATACATACATTACATACATACATACATACATACATACATACATACATACATACATACATACATACATACATACATTACATACATTACATACATACATACATACATACATACATACATACATACATACATACATACATACATACATACATACATACATACATACATACATACATACATACATACATACATACATACATACATACATACATACATACATACATACATACATACATACATACATACATACATACATACATACATACATACATACATACATACATACATACATACATACATACATACATACATACATACATACATACATTACATTACATTACATTACATTACATTACATTACATTACATTACATTACATTACATTACATACATTACATTACATTACATTACATACATACATACATACATACATACATACATACATACATACATACATACATACATACATACATACATACATACATACATACATACATACATACATACATACATACATACATACATACATACATACATACATACATACATACATACATACACATACATACATACATACATACATACATACATACATACATACATACATACATACATACATACATACATACATACATACATTACATACATACATACATACATACATACATACATACATACATACATACATACATACATACATACATACATACATACATACATACATACATACATACATACATAAATACATTACATACATACATACATACATACATTACATTACATTACATTACATTACATTACATCACATCACATCACATCACATCACATCACATCACATCACATTACATACATACATACATATACATATATACATATACATATATGTATATATATATATATGTATATATATATACATATTATATATATATACACATATATACACACTCGCATTTGAAGAAGAATAATGCTAAAGAAATTAAGACCCAACTCAAGGTTTTCCGGAAAACAAACAATGTTTAAATCTATGTAAGTTCCAATTAAGTTAAAGTTTTACACCAAATTGGAAAGGAATGTCGAAGCACCGTCAAATTTTGAACGGACTCCATGTCCTTGTATATATCCGCTTAAATCCTACTCAAATTATATCAACAAACAGAATTTGAAAATAATTCCTACCTATTCTATTTGAGATGCTGTGTTCGATCACCGGTCACCCCGTTCACGCCTCCTGATGGCCTGCGTGCCGCCATGGCGCCGAACGCTTAGTCGGCGCGGCGCGGCGTTCGGCACTTTGGCCGCGCGCGCGTTGGGCGCTTTGGAGCCAGCTGACGAACTGGTCAGTGGAAGGTGCGCGATTTCCACAACGAAATTAAGGGCAATCTGAATCACTGAATGGGGAGCAAGAAAAAACTGTGGAATGAGGTTGCGCAACCCCACTTCAACCATCCAAAAATGAATGTTTACACGGATAAAGCTCGGTCTAGGCATTTTGTTCACACCCTACGCAAACCGTTATCCCCTCTTTACGTGAAGAATTTGTTGGGGAAGCCTGTTCAGCCAATGATTGCATACAATGCAAAGGCAACCGCAAAACAAACAAACAAACAAACAAAAGCAAGCAAGCAAGGAAGCGAACAAATCGCTTGGGTCTGCAAGGCCCGCACACAGCAGCCGCACTAGGGACCTCCTGCTCCTGGGAGTGAGCCGCAGAGTTGACCATCGATATCCCTTGAATCCGCCCCGCCAAAAGAAAAAAAGAAGCCCATTTTATGTCCTTGATTTTTCGTGGTTTGCGGAATTCAAGCAACTTGGCCAGCAATCAAAGACCTCCAAGCGAAGACGGGGCATTTCTGGTCGCCCACCAAAAAACCTGGCCAAGGAGGAAGTGGAGAAGGCAATTGCCACTTGAAAGTTCTTGGCTGGAAAGAAAGCTCGCTCCTTGAGACAGATAAAAACCAGCTGCGGGCCCTTTCATTGAAATTGGCGCAAAACAAAGGAAATATGAGTTTGTTTTTTCTGAGATTTTTTCTGGCATGTTGTTGGAAGGAAATCACTGCAAAAACACCAATTTGTGGGTTCCCCTGTCCGATCAATTTGGGAGCTGCTCAGGGCTGTCCTCTGTGATGGGCACGATCTTCGAGGGATCCACCGCTGGCGCCGATCCTGCGGAGATTTGCGGCGCGGGATGGCATTTTGCCCCATCTCGTCCTTACCACAACTGCACCCAAAAACGACAGACAGACACAGACAATGTATATATATATATATACATATATATATATATATACATATGTATATACATACATATATATATATGCACATATATACACATATATACATACACATACATATGCGCGTGCATAGGTAAACCATATGTGTTATATATATATATATGTATTTATCTACATGCCGTGTACACATATATATATATATGTATGTATATTCACAGAGAGAGAGGGAGAGAGAGAGAGAGAGAGAGAGAGAGAGAGGGAGAGAGGGGGAGACTTTCAGGTGTATGCGTATTACTATGCACATCTATGAGATCAAAGCCCAACCAAATCACCGCAAACCATTCATTCCCACTACCAAACAAATTTCCCAGCAAGATACTACCATTCATTCACCAACCTGACCAAGGACATGTTCACCACTCACCACGAGCACATCAGCGAAGGTTTCCTTCAGACCCTTGTGAAATCCCTGGGGCCCTGACGGGTTGATAACTTATCAATCCCCCAAGAGGGTGCCACCACGACCCGCATGGCCCTCTCCTGGGACATTCTTCTTCGCAGGCTTTCGCCGGCGGTACATCGCAATGCCTCGCGGCACACCGAGGGAAGAGAGATCGGAACCGGTGGAGAAAATCGCCGTCCGAGTCGAAACTGCAACGCGGACATCAACAGTTACATGTGTCTTGTGTCCACCAGCCATGCTTCAGGGATTTCCCTAGTCCAACTCGTGCCATGCTTTGAACGCGCCCACTCGAACGTGCAAGACCCGAGTGCCCGGGCTGGATGGCTCGGAGCATTCGATCTCCATGATCTGAGCCCTTGGCACCAGCGCAAGTGAAATGCCCCGTGTCGGTGAATGCCAACATGTTAGACCCTCCGGTAAGTGCAAATTTCAAGGGGGGCAAGTGCCAATTCTTTTTTTTGGGAGACCAACCGAAAGCTACGGGGCACCGGCCACTCTCGGCCCAAAATCGATTCCCTTGGGCAAGGCCAAAATCAATCCGGCCTTGGACGAAAGGAATTCCATCGGAAAATGTCGAACCCGGAAGCAAAATGAACGAGTCAAATGTCCACCTCCCCATGAAGATGAAGAAAGCACCAATGCTACGTGTGCCTCATCTCGAACTTTTGGTGAGAAGCGGCCGCTCACCGTTCACGGGCCCAGCGGGCCCGAAGGGCCCGAAGGGCCCGACGGGCGCCTGACAGGCCTGCCTGACGGGCCCAAAGGCTTCAGGGGCTTGACGGGCCCGACGTCGACGGGCATGACAGGCTCCACGCACTGGACGGGCTTTAACGAAAAGATAGAGCGCCACACAACGAGACAGATACATCGAACGATAGACAGATGGATCGATATTTTGACGACGCACTAGACGAGTGACAGATATTTTGACACAAGTTTAGACAACTAGAAAGACAGAAAGAAAGGTAGACAGATAAATAGATAGACAGATAGGCAGGTAGAGGTAGGAAGGTTGAGAGATGGAGGTGATTACAGTACCTTGGAAAGATGTTAGATAGATACATACGTAGATGGACAGAGACAGATAGATGAAACTGATATAGATGGGTAGAGGAGAAAGATAGACAGCAAGAAAGATGAGTAGGTAGATGGACAGGTAGATGGGGTAGACCGACACGTACATAGTAGAGAGATAAGGAGATATATCAGTAGGAGAGATATGTAAATAGAAGGAGAGACAGAGGGAATAGAGAGATAGATTACATTAGAACAGACATTTAAATAGGCAGATAGGCAGATAGGCAAATGGGCTAGATTAGATTGGATTAGGTGAGAGCAGGTTAGATCAAGCAAATAGGTTGGGAGATGCACAGACGCATTGATGGACAGACGGACGGACAAACAGATGAATGGACAGGTGGATGAACAGATGCACAAAGACCTGCGTGGATTCGTGGATGAATAGGCAGGCAGATGGCTAGATAGAAAGATGAGTAAGTTGCCAGGGCGGGCAGGTAAGTGGAGCAGACACACGCACACAACAGTATTGGAAAAGCCTCAAGCAGGCTAGATCGCAGGCTAGTGAGCAGGCTGTCAGCCGCTTCAGCTAACAGCTTTTTCGCCAGCGGCGCCGATTTTCGGCTGCGGTTTCCGCCAGCTCGAACAGTCAAGCCAGTCAGTACGGCCTGATGGCCTGATGACCCACCATGCCTTGTCGGCCAAAGGAGTGTTCCAGTGGGTAGTCTCATGGGTTTCCCTGCCAAGGCGGGCAGACATCCGGACCTTGTCCCCAAAAAACTGGTCCAAGGGTCTTGCGTGCGCACAGGCTCTTTTAAAGCGCTCCTCAACTGCATCACAAAAGGCTGTGGAGTGTGAGGTTATGACAGGGCACACCATCGGCAACATAAGGGGCTCAGTGTCAATTTCATCACACAGGAGCCTGTGCTAGCATCTGTAAGAGCCTAAGTCTTTGGTCAAGGCGCTGCGGTCTGTTAAACTGTTAGCACATGGAGTTGCCAGTGGAGTTGCACGCGGCGAACAGCTTAGTGAAGACTTGTCCTACCACAAACGCATACACAGGCACATCTGCTGAATGTTCATGCGCCACGGGGCACTGTGCTGCAGCCACAGCTTGAAACTTTCAAGCGCGCAGTGGGCAAGTGTCTCCTCGCCAACATGCGCCAAGCAGATCCCCCCGCAAAGCCCGCTTTCCAATGACTTTGGTCCGTGCGAGGCGCTCAGTTGCGCCCAATGCTTGTCGCACACCTCGTGTTGGAGAACGTAAGACATTGTTGATTCGCGCGCTGTGTCCACTTGCACCCTGCACGCAGAGCAGTACACAATGCCCGGTTGGACACGCTTCACGGCTGGCCTTCGCACGTCTGGCCATGTGATAATTTGCCTTCCAAGGCCTCGGACACTGCTGCACGCGGCTGCCCGCGCTTGAGCTTCTCAATCCCTTCTAGAGCCAGCAGCGCGCTGCCCTGCTGCGCCCTTCTGCCGCGGCACAGGTCTGTAAATCTTCCGGGCTTGCATCCTGCGCCCTGAGCGCATGCAACATTGACCAGCACACTTCGCAGCTCAGCTCATATTATATTGTGTTTTGGCTGGGTCACGGTGAGAATCCACACCAAGTTGTCGAGCAATGCTGACGCCTGCCTTCTGCTTATCAGAGGGCTTCTTCCGCTCTTTTTGCTCTGACATCCTGTCTTCTGGTCTGTTGCTGAGCTTTGGCTGTGGGGCGGTGACCATCTGAGCGCTGCACCATTGCTGATGACTTGCACTCCGGACTGCCAGTTCGACACTCCTGCTTGCACTGAGTCAGCACTGGAGGCGTGAGCTTCATCCAGTGACTGCTAAGTTGGGTGCCCAGAGCTGACCGTGTTCGGGTCAGATTGCTGGTCAGGACATCTGTCCTGGCAAAGGCGCGGAAGCAGGAGCGGGCTACGGACTGGGCGTGCCAAGACACTTCGCTGAAAGTTTCACGTTTATTTCGGCGCAAGCCCCGAGCTCTATGCGCAACTTTGCGGGGTGTTGAAGGTGCCGCGGCATCGTTCTTGCGGCGTCTTACAGCAAGTCGCGAGTGCGTGGAAAAACACATTTATAAAGCAGGTAGAGTGAGTAATAGGATGTTGCAGGCTGCTGTTCTCCACTGACTTCACGACAGCGCGCCTTGCACTGGTAAGGGTTGAGGGCGACTCACGGAACGCGCAAGGCCCAACCCAGATTTAACGGCGAAGCCGCGTTGGAAGAAGCAAGGTTACTCAAGACAAGTCTCGAGGCAGAACACCTGACCTAGCGCTAGCACGGGCCGCTCCTCTGCCAGGCCCTTCATCACGTTTGCAGTCATGTTCACCTGCACGGCGCCTTCTATCACATTTGAACCTGTTTGCCAGTGTTGCTAGCATAACCAGAGCTCCCGTCTGAAGCGTCTCTTCAAGCGCCTTTTTTCCCAAAAGCATCTCTGGCGCGATGGGTGCGGGAGCTTGCAACGGGGCCGTGCCGGTGGGATGTGGACTCCGAGTTTTGGCAGTCGGCCGTGCCTGTGGGATTTGGA